TCAGGTGCGGAGTGCGCGCGGAGCGGGCTGGCGGCAGAGGGCATGGTTGTTGTTTTCAATAGGGAGGGAGTTTCAGACTCTGAGCTCCAGATCCGGGCGAGTCTCTAGGGACCCAAACTCAAAAGGGAGAAGCAGGACTGTCTGGCTTCGGTCAGAACTTGAAGGCAGCTTTCTCTCCGAGGTTTGCAGCGGTTGCTGGGACTCGGTGAGGCAGAGCACCTAGGGACAGAACTGAGAGCAGCCATAACTGCTCCCTCCTGCCCGCCCTGTAGATCCCCTGGGACCCGCCCCACCCAAGCCCTGCACAGAGGCATTTGCCCGATAGCCTCAGGCAAAGGCTAGATTAGCACCGCCCTAGAGATCCAGCACAGAAGTTCTCCCACTGCAGACACAGCTGATTCTCATAGCCAGTTGGCCTGGAGGTCAAATCCCCGCCAGTATTACCTACAACAACCAAGGCTTAACTACAACAAGACTGCGCACAAAGACCACAAGGGGGTGCACCAAGAAAGCATAAAAAATTCGGAGACAAAGAAACATGACAGAAATGGAGGATACAGAGCTCAAAACCACACTTTTAAGGTCTTTCAATAAGTTTCTAGAAACTGCCGATAAACAATGAGATCTACAAGAAATCTAATGAGACCCTCGATGTTGTGATAAAGAACCAACTAGAAATTAAGCATACACTGACTGAAATAAAGAATATTATACAGACACCCAACAGCAGACCAGAGGAGCGCAAGAATCAAGTCAAAGATTCGAAGTACGAAGAAGCAAAAAACACCCAACTGGAAAAGCAAAATGAAAAAGGAATCCGAAAATATGAAGATAGTGTAAGGAGCCTCTGGGACAGCTTCAAGCATACCAACATCAGAATTATAGGGGTGCCAGAAGATGAGAGAGAGCAAGATATTGAAAACCTATTTGAAGAAATAATGACAGAAAACTTCCCCCACCTGGTGAAAGAAATAGACTTACAGGTCCAGGAAGCGCAGAGAACCCCAAACAAAAGGAATCCAAAGAGGACCACACCAAGACACATCATAATTAAAATGCCAAGAGCAAAAGACAAAGAGAGAATCTTAAAAGCAGCAAGAGAAAGAAACTCAGTTACCTACAAGGGAGTACCCATACGACTGTCAGCTGATTTCTCAACAGAAACTTTGCAGGCCAGAAGGGAATGGCAAGAAATATTCAAAGTGATGAATACCAAGAACCTACAACCAAGATTACTTTATCCAGCAAAGCTATCATTCAGAACTGAAGGTCAGATAAAGAGCTTCACAGATAAGGAAAAGCTAAAGGAGTTCATCACCAACAAACCAGTATTATATGAAATGCTGAAAGGTATCCTTTAAGAAGAGGAAGAAGAAGAAAAAGGTAAAGATACAAATTATGAACAACAAACATGCATTTATCAACAAGTGAATCTAAGAATCAAGTGAATAAATAATCTAGTGATCATAATAGAATCAGGGACATAGAAAGGGAATGGACTGACTATTCTTGTGGGGGAAAGGGGTGTGGGAGATGCGGGAAGAGACTGGACAAAAATCGTGCATCTATGGATGAGGACAGTGGGTGGGGAGTGAGGGTGGAGGGTGGGGCGGGAACTGGGAGGAGGGGAGTTATGGGGGGAAAAAAGAGGAACAAATGTAATAATCTGAACAATAAAGATTTAATTTAAAAAAAAAAAAGAAACTTTGCAGGCCAGAAGGGAGTGGCAAGAAATATTCAAAGTGATGAATGCCAAGAACCTACAACCAAGAATACTTTATCCAGCAAAGTTATCATTTAGAATTGAAGGTCAGATAAAGAGCTTCACAGATAAGGAAAAGCTAAAAGAGTTCATCACCACCAAACCAGTATTATATGAAATGCTGAAAGGTATCCTTTAAGAAGAGGAAGAAGAAGAAAAAGGTAAAGATACAAATTATGAACAACAAATACACATCTATCAACAAGTGAATCTAAAAATCAAGTGAATAACCTGATGAACAGAATGAACTGATGATTATAATAGAATCAGGGGCATAGAAAGGGAGTGGACTGACTATTCTTTGCGGGGGGGGGGGGGGGGAAGGGCGGGGAGAAGGGGTGTGTGGGATGTGGGAAGAGACTGGACAAAAATCGTGCACCTATGGATGAGGACAGTGGGTGGGGAGTGAGGGTGGAGGGTGGGGTGGGAACTGGGTGGAGGGGAGTTATGGGGGAAAAAAGAGAAACAAATGCAATAATCTGAACAATAAAGATCTAATTTTTTTAAAAAGTGTGTTTCTTGTTGCCCAGCCAGTATGATTTAGTGGTTGAGCATTGACCTATGAACTAGACAGTGGTCAGCAAACTCATTAGTCAACAGAGCCAAATATCAACAGTACAACAATTGAAATTTCTTTTGAGAGGCAAAATTTTAAACTTAAACTATATAGGTAGGTACATTGTTATTTACTTAATTAGGGTACGCCTAAGGCTTAGGAAGAGCCACACTCAAGGGGCCAAAGAGCCGCATGTGGCTAGTGAGCCGCAGTTTGCCGACCACGGAACTAGGAGGTCACGGTTCAATTCCCGGACAGGACACATACCTGGGTTGTAGACTCCATCCTCAGTAGGGGGCATGCAGGTGGCCTATCAATGATTCTCTCTCATCATTTATGTTTCTATCTCTCTCTCCCTTTCCCTTTTTCTCTGAAATAAATATAAAAATTAAAATATATAAAAAGATTGTTAAAATGTGTCTCTTGTAGACAGCATATAGGTAGAACTTTTTTTAAGGTTAATTCTGCTAATCTCTGTTTTGTGTGTGTGTGTGTGTGTAGTAAAATACACATAACAATAATAAAGTAAACAATTCAATGGCATTTAGTACATTCACAAGGTTTGCGACCATCACCACTATCTAGAACATTTTCATCACCCCCAAAGAAACCCTAGATCCATCAGCAGTCACTCCCATTGCCCCCACCCCGCAGCCTCTGGCAAACACTATTCCACTTTCTATCTCTAAGTACAGATGTTTTATATAAACAGAATCATGCAATATGTGGTCTCTGTGTCTGTCCACTTCCACTCAGCACGATGCCTTACAGTTTATCCATATTGTCAATTTGCCTCTCTTGCCTGGCATCAGCCCACCTTGGCCAGACTGGGCTCTCTCCTCTCTGATAGACACCAGGCGTGTTCTCACAGGGTTCTGGGTGCCTGATTTTGTTGAGGCCCCAATCCACCTCCGTTTCCTGCTCAGTTCAAATCTCTGCATAATAATAGTAATCACTACTGGGCACCTAGAATATGTGGAGCTCTGTGCTAAGCATACTTCCCATGCATTATCTCATTTAGGTTTAATTCTTGCAACAATCCGGGGAGGAGGAAACCATCACCAAGTTCCCACCCTTTCCAGTTGGGAAGTGGCAGCATGTTCAGTGCCCCACATACCTATGCCTTTCACTGACCCACTCTGCCCAAGACTGGCAAGTCCCCACTTGCTAACACTGTGACACTGAGTGGATTCCTTAACCTTTCTGTGCCTCCATTTCCTCATCTATAAATTCGTGATAATAATAACACCTGCCTCCAGAGGTGCTGTGAAGATGAAAGGAGCTAACAAAGATAGGTGTCTGCCTCCTATCCCCTGAGGCCAGGCCAGCCTTCTCTAGGGTGGCTTAGCTCACATCCTGACCCTAAAAGGAAAGACTGACTAAGAACAAATGCTTCCCCCTGGCACCTGAGGATGCCTGAGGACCCTAGCCTGCCTTCCAGCTCATGGTCCGCGACCCTCCTCTGGGGATCAGCCAATATGACTGTCTCTTTCTGCCCCCAGTGTGCCCTGTGCTGGCTCCTGCCACTTGCTTCTCTAGAAAGGGTCCCTTCCCATCTCTGTCACCTTTCCAGAACCATCTCAAGTGCCTCAAACCTGACTCCTTCCCCCCAAAGCTCTGTTCCCAGTGCCTCAGAGTGGCTTCTCCATGTGATGGATGTTCTCCATCCTGTATATCCATCCAGATGAAAGGAGCTAACAAAGATAGGTATCTAGCTTACCTGGCAAACAGTGAGCCCTTCCTTTCTGTGCCTGCCATACCTGCCATGCTGTTTTACTCTCTGGCCGGGTGGTCTTGGCTTGTGGCCTTTGCTGACTCCTATCCCCTGAGACCATGTCCTCAGTGCCCAGGAGGTTGACCCACAGGCACTACTGTGCTCACTTGCAACCATCATTTCTATCAATGGGAAAATGACAGGAGAGAGGGCAGGGTACTTATGCCCCAAGATGCAAAGTCTTCTCCAGGACTATAGGCTTTGATGGATAACCATGTGCTGAATGGGGAGGCAGGAGAGCACATGGTCCAAGGCAGGCCCTGGGTCAGAGGCCTCAGCGCCTTCCCTGCTCCGCTGTCACTCGCTGCAGTACCATCAGCAAATTAATGAACATTTCTGAGTGTCAGTTTCTCACATATAAAGCAGGATAATACTTCTTCCCACTTTTCACAGGGCTAGTTCCTGTAGATTTTTATTCAGTTGCTTTCTGTCTGTCACCCTTGCTAGAACATGAACTCCTATTCACCATGACTACCATGATGCCTCCCTCATGTGAGGTCCTCAATTATTTTTTATTGAGATCCATATACCATAAGATAAACTACATTAAAGAGAATAATTCAGTGGCATTTTGTGCATTCACAATGCAGCATCTAGTGCCAGAACATATCCATCACCCCAAAAGTTGATCCTGTAACGAATAAGCAGTCACTCCTCATTCCCCTCTCTATACAGCCGTGGCAACCACCAATCTGCTTTCTGTCGCTATGCGTGTTCCTATTCTGGACATTTCATATAATTGGAATCACACAATATGTGATCTTTGTGTCTGGCTTCTTTTCTCAGTACTTGACGATGAATGCAAGCTTGGAACTTTGGTTCTGCCTCACTCCCAAATGGGGAGGACCTATCACAAGAGGACACAGGGAATAGGAGGTGTGATGCTGGGAGGAGCCCAGGTGGGTTACCTTTTCTAAGGCTTCTTCATTGCCCTCCACCTTCTTCCGGAGCTTTATCAGCTGCCACAGTTCCTGGGCAGGCCGGTTGGTCCCTTGGCTGCCCTCCAGCAGCATGGAGGTGGAAGGCATTTCATGCAGCATGCTCAGCTGGCTCTCCATCCTCTCGATACGGCTCACCACGTGGTCGAAGACATTGCTCAGCCTCTTCAGGGGCTGGACGGTGGGCTGACCATCTCCTTCCCGGGGCATTAACATGTTCTGTGAGGTCTGGAGGAATTCCTCATCCCCTGAGAGGACCTTCTTGAGCTCAGTCATGTTGATGTGCTCCAGGATGCCATGGAGCACCAGGTGCAGGGCCTTGAAGTTCACCACACCATACTGCGGGATGGCAATGTTGACCAGCTCAGAGAACGAGAGCGAGAAGCTCATGTTCTCAGGAAGGTCAGCCGGGCTGGGGTTTGGGGCATCCATGGGGACGAGTGGTGGCCTTCAGTGGACCACGAGCTGCACAAACAAATGCTCAGAGATCCGGAGAGGCTGTAAGTCACGGCAGTCAGGGGGAAAATGGCCTCTGTCTTGGCCAGAGCTCAGATGAGAGTTTTTGGTTGCTAGGATACCAAAGAACGTGGCAGTGGGCGTGCTTCCGAGGGTCTGGAGTGCAGTAGAGGAGGTACTCAGTTAATAGTTGATGAAATGTTTGAACAAACAGCTGTTTCTTTTAATTCAAGCCCTTTGATTATGTAAGACCCAATGATCCTTTCCAAGAAGCATGCCGGGAAGGTGACAGAGAGGCAGCTCGCTCCTCAGAAGTCTCTAGAATCAGAACAGGAAAGTTCTTGGAGTTAGGAAAGCCCAGGTTTCAGGAACAGAACCTGAAGAGCTGCTGGTTGTGGGACAGTGGCCAAAGGCCACACAGGTGTTCATTTCTGGAGCAGGAAGGTGAAAAGTGCGTGACGTAGTGGCTTTCGTCAGGTCTGAATTCTGCATGTCCCTGGTCCCATCCCCCCCCCCCCCCCCCCCCCCTGCCAACCCCAGAGACATGAGTGACCTCCTGAACTCTGCTGTGCTCCTCCTTGAGCTGGGACTCATCAAGACCCCAATGCTCTAAAGCCTTAAGGACATGGCCATGAACCAGCTGCCGCAGAACTTGAAGGCTGCCTGGGCTGCAATATATTCAGGCCCTGCTTTTGTCAATTTTCAGGCAAGAAAATGGCAGCCTGCTGGTCCTGGTCTCCTAGGGAAGCCTGCAAAGAAAGCCCTGACTCAACCCCAGGAGCCCCCCAACTCCTGGGCCACCCCAAAATTCTTGGCATATAGTACACACTGTTTATACACAGCACACAGCATGAGCACCCCAGGGGTTGAGTTGGCTTCCCCACAGAAGAAACAGTGGACACCTGTCCACTTTAGGTTCATGCACATGACTTTCTCAGCAACTGTATGACCATGTATAAATTACTTAACCTCTTTGAACCTCAGCTTCCCTGCCTGCTAAATGGGAACTAAAACCTTCCATGTGGAGTTGCCAGGAAGCAGTGTGTGTGTGTGCGGGGGGAGGGGGCGCGGGGAGGGGGGCTATAGAAATGCTCCATTAAAGTGCCAGGCCCGTGTGGACCCAAAGACTTCTTTCCCACACTTGACCCAGTATTCTAGTCTTGCCAGTGATCATGGCCAAGGGAGAAGGAGCTCAGGAGACTCGTCTGAATTTAATGTAGGGACCTTTGCAGGAATGTTGTTTATTACTAACAGGTTCTTGACCTAACTTCAACAAATGCTTTTGCTGAGGCCTTTACTACTTTATCTGCAAAACCTACTTATTCCGAATGACAGAAACTGATGCTGAGACCCTCAGTGCTACAATACTCAGTTTGTTCTCTTCAGACACTCTTCATAACTGCTAATTCCACTGAAGGAATTTACCCACCTTGAGAGGAAAAAAGAGACTCACTCCTATTGTGATAAATGTATACATTCTCAGTTCTGTCTGGGCCCTACTTAGATACTACTTCTTTTTGTGACAGCTTTATTGAGATACTAGAGGCCTGGTGCACAGATTCGTGCACTGGTAGGGTCCCTCGGCCTGGCCTGTGCCCTCTCACAATCCAGGACCCCACCAGTGCATGATCAGGGCCAGAGAGGGACCACAGGAGGGCTCTAGGGTGTATCTGTCCTGTCTTTCCCAGTCCTCATTGGCCTGACCTGAGTAGCAAGCTAACCTACTGGTTGAAGCTTCTGCCCCCTAGTGGTCAGTGTGCATCATAGTGACCGGTTGAACAGTCGAATGGTTGCTTAGGCTTTTATATATATAGATAATTCACATACCATACAATTCACCCATTTAAAATTTATAATTCAGCCCTAGTCGGTTTGTTTCAGCGGCTTAAGCATTGGCCTGTGGACTGAAGGGTCCCAGGTTTGATTCCAGTCAAGAGCACATGCCTGGATTGCAGGCTTAATCCTCAGTAGGGGGCGTGCAGGAGGCAACCAATTGATGATTCTCTCTCATCATTGGTGTTTCTATCTCTCTCTCACTCTCCCTTCCTCTCTGAAATCAATAAAAAATATATATTAAAAAAATAAAGTATACAATTCAATAACTTTTATTATATTCACAGAGCCGTGCAATCGTCACTACAATCTACTTACAAGCATTTTCATCATCCTGAAAAGAAATGCTGCAGTCATTAGCAGTCATTTCATTTCCCCAACTGCCAGCCCCTGGCAATCACTGATGTGTTTTCTGTTGTTATGGATTTGTCTGGACATTTCACATGACTGAATATGTGACCTTTTGTAACTGGTTTCTTTTATTTAGCACAATGTTTTCAAAGTTCATCCAGGTTGTAGCATGTGTCAGCACTTCATTTCCTTTTACAACTGAACTAGAGGTCTGATGCACAAAATTAGTGCAAGAGTAGGCCTTCCTTCCCCTGGCTGCTGGCATCACCTTCCCTCCTGCACCCGGAATCCGGGCTTCCCTCACCCGGGCTTCCGGCTTCATCCGGAAGGTCACCCAGAAGGATGTCTGGTCTAATTAGCATATTACCCTTTTATTATTATAGATAATATTCTATTGTAGGGATAGACCAGTTTGCATATCCATTCATCCACTGATGGATATTTAGAACAATTCTGCCTTTTAACTATTGTGAACAATGCTGCTATGGACAGTAGTATACAAGTTTTTGTTTGAGTACAAGTTTTCAGTTATTTTGTATCTCTACCTAGGAGTGGAATTGCTGCATCATAAGGTAACTACCTCTCCTGTATATTAACACTTTGTAGAACTGCCAGACTGTTTTCCACAGCAATGCATTATTTTACATTCCCACCCACGGCAAATGGGGGTTCTCATTTCTCCTCATCATCACCAGCACTTGTTGGTGTCCGTCTTTTTTATTATAGCCATCCTGGTGGATGTTGGATACTACTTGTTTTGTGGCCATCAGACTTACAGCCACCTGCCACACACTCACTGTTCCCACTATCAGGAAATGCCTCCCCTTGCCACCACCTCCCTATAGCTGAGGGCAGACAAACGCAGTCCTGAGGACACTCAAAATAAGCATTCAAAATGATTGTTAGAGGCTTCCAGATGTTTAAAATTACCAGCCCTTCAGTGGATCGTGTTCCCCTGAAAAGACACCTCCAAAAAGACGCAAGCATAGGCTACCTGGGAAACCTCCCAGAGGGATCACCGACTCTTCCTGTACACTCTTCTAGCCACAGTTCTCACAGCAGGGATAACACAACTGAAAAAGGCCATCCAAAATCTGTCTCTGGCCCTAGCAGATGTCATCAATGACACAACTTCTGCTCCAACAAACCAGGGGAAATATCAATTCATTAGCAGATCATGAAACCCTGATTTTCTTCTTGGCTAACCAAGAAGCAAACGTTTCTTACTACACTGATGTAAATACTTAATAAAGGCCACAGGTAAAGTATAACAGTTCGTGATTAGGCTTTTTAAAAAAGCCATCTGCCCAAGCCAGTGTTGCTCAGTGGTTGAGCGTCGACCTATGAACCAGATCATGGTTCAATTCCCAGTCAGAGCACATGCCCGTGTTGTGGGCTCGATCCCCAATGTGGGAGTGCAGGAGGTAGCCAATCAATGATTCTCTCTCATCAGTGATGTTTCCATATTTCTCTCCCTCTCTCTTCCTCTTTGAAATCAATAAATATTTATTTTTCTATTTTAAAAAATCTTTATTGTTAAAAGTATTGCATATGTCCCCCCTTTTCCCCATTGACCTCTTCTAGCCTGTCCCTGCCCTCAATAAAAATATGTACTTTTTAAAAAGCCACCTGGCTCTCCAGGGAGAGACCAGCTGGACTTAGGTGGGGGTAGTGTTTTCATAGCCTGGGTTCAGCAATTGAGGCCCCTGCCTTCAGGATCTGGTGCTAGACCCAATAGCCAGTTCTATTTCTGATAACGGCCCATGTTACTGGTAGCCAATGTATTCTGTCCAGAGTCTTAGTGCAACAACTGTCTTGTGAGAGGACTCAACAACTCACCCTGCAAGACAGCAGAGGGTCTAATCCAGGGGTGGGCAAACTTTTTGACTCGAGGGCCACAATGGGTTTTTAAACTGGACCGGAGGGCCGGAACAAAAGCATGGATGGAGTGTTTGTGTGAACTAATATAAATTCAAAGTAAACATCATTACATAAAAGGGTACGGTCTTTTTTTTTCTAGTTTTATTCATTTCAAATGGGCCGGATCCGGCCCGCGGGCCGTAGTTTGCCCACGGCTGGTAATTGCAGCCCAGCTATGACAACGTTCTCTGAACACCCTCCTGACCAGCAACACCTGATATTGACAAAGCTCTGGATATAGTACATAGTGTTCTGAGGACTGCCTTCATCCACCCTTAGCTATGGGGGCGGGGGGGTAAGGGGAGGCAGCTCCTGAGAGCAGGAACTGGCTAAGCATCAGAGGCTCTGTAGCTGGCTTAAGAGGGCCTTGGTACACTCCAGTGGACATAAACAATTTCACAGAACACAACAGCGCCGCTCTGCTCCCATGAAAGGCCAAGATAAGATCAGTCATAATTAGGTCTGAACTCAGACAAAAATAAGAATACTGTCCAAACCACAAACGTGACCAGATAGCCCACTATCCTGGCTAATATAAGTGACCACTGCTTCTTGACCAACTAAAACTTTATCTGTGTCATTCCTTCTGCCTCTTGATAAGATTGATTACAATATCCAATCACAGAATTAGCCCTGGTTCCTGACAGTACCCAATCCAGAACACTCCCCACCCCCAGTCACCTAACATGGGCCAAAATCCCATCCTTAAAGTCTTTTTAACGTAACTCTCTTATGAGATGTCCCTGGATTCCTCACTGTGTCATAAGAGTTGAAAATTCAAGGGTTGCCTTGACATCTTTGAGCCTCACAGGGCTCTCGAGTTCCCCTGTTCCTTTTGGATATGCCCCCCAACCCCACCCAGCAGGAAAGGCTGCCCACCCAGCTAGTTCCCCCACCAGCCAGACCAGCTGCACTCCACCCGTCGCAATCTGAGGGGCTTCAGTTCCCTGCCAGCTTGTGAAACTATTCAAACAAGCCTCCTGGAGGAACCAGGGGGCGCCCCACTCCCTTACTACAAAGCCTGCAGCCCACAGCCCTAGCTGGTTCACTCTGTTCCTGATGACACCGGAGTGGCCCTGCCTGGCCTGTGCTGTCCTCTCCCTGCTCTGTGAGTATATGTGACTAATAACCGCTGTTGATCTCACCTGTCTAGAGCAGGAGTCTCTCACACTCCAGCAGAGTGAAAGGGACCTATCAGAACACCCTTG